TAGAATTTTCCTGCTCTAAAATCCCATGATTTTATTTTATTTTATTTTTTGAGTTGGAGTCTCACTCTGTCACCCAGACTGGAGTGCAGTGGCCGCTCCCGGCCACTGCAACCTCGACCTGCTGGGCTCCAGCGATCCTTCAGCCTCAGCCTTTCAAGTAGCTGGAACTACCGGTGCGCGCTACCAAGCCCGGCTAATTTTTTTGATTTATTGTAAAGATGAGGTCTTGCCAAGTTGCCCAGGCGGGTCTCGAACCCGCAGGCCCAGGCAATTCACTCACCTCGGCCTCCCAAAGCGCTGGGATTACAGGCTGAGCCACTGAGCCCGGCAAATTCCATGATTTTAAATATAAAAGACATCCCTGACATATTTCTATTTGTATTTTAATGCACATATGTTTTGTGGAGTGTGCGTCTGTCTATGTGCACATAGAAATACTGCTCCTTCTTTACTAAACAAACTATTATTTCTCAGAACCCAATTTTTTGGGGGTGTATCAAATATAGCTTTATTTTATTTTTTATTTTCAAAGTGTGGGGTACAATTCAGGATTAGATATATAAGTGCTCATCATACAGGTAAAGTTTGGGCCTCCCTTTGGTCTCCACTTTGCCTGATTTGAGATCAGGTACCTTTATTGATGTTGTGTCCTCCGCACACTCCCTCCGCCCCCCAACCCTGGCAGTATCCCGCTACTGCCAATCCCTTTCTTTTTTCTTTTTTGAAAGTAGGATTTATTAAGAAGACAGAAGATCTCACACAATGGTAGGGGATCTGAAAGAGGTTGCCCCCAATCCCTTTCTTACAGTATTATGGTAAATGTTCAGGGTCTGCTTATGAGTGAGAACATGTGACACTCTGTTCTTTGTTTCTGTGATAGATCACTGAGAATGAGACTCCTAATCTATCCAATTTGCTGCAAAGTCCATATGTTTGTCTTTTATGGCTGTGTAATATTCGATTGCATATATTACCACATTTTTTTTATCCAGCCCAGTTTCGATGGGAAGCATGGTTGCAGAACTCGATATTTTACAGTGAACCTCAGCATTAATGCATACCATATAGCTTAATAGACATTGCTAACACAAGTTAATTCAATAATATACTATCTATCTGATTCATACTCCAAACTATTCATTCTGAACTTTTTTAACTTTTGTACTTCTGTGGCTTAAAACATATGAATTTTCTTTTTTTTGTTGTTTATTTATTTTGTTTTTTTATCCATATTTCTTTTCATGCCAAAAAACTTGAGGGATGGCATCCTGCAAGAAATTAACTTATCAAGAAGAATAAATATAAAGTAAGCATAAAGTTAAATCACAATGTACTAAATTTATAGTGAATATTTATTTCATTCACAATAGATAGATCATTGTTTAATTCTAGCATTTCATTTTAGCAATCATAATTTGAATTATTAAGCTCTTACTTGGCTTTGGTAGATATATTTTAAACTAGAAAGCGCTCACATTTCATAAAGTTTTTTGGTGAACATCTGCTCCTGTTTCCAAAAGTGATGTGGACAGGAGAATGCTACTGCATATGTGAGCTTTGGTTCAGTCACAGTATATTCCCAGCACCACTCTTTTTTTTTCAGTTGGAGTCTCACTCTGTCGCCCAGACTGGAGTGCAGTGGCCGCTCCCGGCCACCGCAGCCTCGACCTGCTGGGCGCCGGCGATCCTTCCACCTCAGCCTTCCGAGTAGCCGGAATTACAGGCGCGTGCAACCACACCCGGCTAATTTTTTTATTTTATTGTAGAGATGAGGTCTCGCCTGCCCAGGCGGGTCTCGAACCTCGCGGGCTCAGGCAATCCACTCACCTCAGCCTCCCAAAGGCGCGGGATTACAGGCTGAGCCACCGAGCCCGGCTTCCAGCACCACTCTTAATTGGCTCTGTGGGACACTGTCCCTGATGCACCAGAAGTTTCTCCATTCCACAGATCGCTCATTCCAACTTTAAATTGCTTTGGGAATTGGGAAACAATTACAATAACTGTTGGATGACAATTATTTAACCTTCTGTGACTGTGGAATCTGGTATCTTTTGCTGAACCTGACCTTATGTGGTCATAAAAAATGCTGACATAAATACTAAGAAAAATTACCTGGTTCTTCTAGGAGGTGGAAATAATTATCTAAAGGTAAGCCCTTAATAACATGAAACTGTTACAATAAACTCAATTAAACTTAGTCTATAAGTGAAGCTGTTATTCTATATGCATTTTAACCTGAATAATCTGAAACAATATAGGTACCAATTTATCACCCCAAATACAGCTGTGAATAGTTATTATTATTTAATTATTGTTTGTATTGTGTTAATGAATTCTTCAATCAATTTCCATACACTATATTATTATATTTCTATAATATTACTTCAAAAAATACTGCAGGTATTTTTATTACTACTTTACAAATAAGAAAATTGAGACTATAAATTACAGGCAAAGAACCTCAAACTAAAGATATTGATTCTAGTCTGAGACATTTTTTCACTATGCTAAACTAATATAATATGTATTTAAATAAGTATTATGTGGCCCCTTTTTAGACTGCTGATTATTTGTATAAGATAGCAGCTTATTAGTACTAACTTAAATATATATTTATTTTAAAACAAAAGTCTGCTGCAAAAGAACAAATATGGCATACTGAAGTGGTCCTGCTCATTTCTTCAGAACCTAGAAAGTAAACCTTCACTTATTCAGTCACAGTGCATCTATGTGCAGCTGCTGTGTTAGACTTTGGTGTGGAGACATGAGCAAGACAGACAAGCTCCTTTCCCACATTTCTTCTTATTTCACAACACTTAAGATGGACAATTTAAAGAACTAGAAGCAGACGGAAACCAAAGGTAGCAAGATGAGCCTGGCTTAAGATGAATTTGAATTAATGCCTTGCTGTCCACTTTTTTGCATTTGTGTCAGAGCTGATCAGAGGGCTCATGTCCCTAATCCAGTGCACCCTATGGCCAATTTCTGTACCCCACTCGAGTAATAAGAAGTAGAATCGAATAATTGCCCCTTCTCTGGGCACTGTTGAATGAGCACAGTCAATCTGTCTTTGTGACTCCAGTTTTTCTATGGTCCTCACTGACCATTATTTTTTTTTGTTTTGGCATTTGATTTCTATACAGATTTTAATGCTATTTGTCAGGTAAAGAAGTCATATGCATAGAATGACCTTTGGCTATCTGCCCATTATTAGTCATGCAGCCTTGCACAAAATATGGCACATAGAATCATGCAGTAAAAGTTGGCTAAATAAATATATTTCCTCCCTCTCTCTCTTCCCCCTTCTCTCTTTATTTTTCCTTTTCTCCTTGCTTTCTTGCTTCCTTTCCTCTCACGCTCCCCTCCCCCTTTCTCTCTCCCCCTCCTCTCTCTCCTTTCTTTTCTTAAACTAAATAAATAAAAATCAACAAAATCTTGTGGGCTCGGTTTTTTTAATCTCTAAGATTGAGTTTATATATCCCCTTGTATGTCTTTTCAAAGTTAAAATATTTCTATTCTGTATTCTTAAATTTTTTTTTCCTGTTGTAAGGTTTATGTTGAGCTGAACTTCTGACTTCCAGTAATATCTGCTTTACAGAAATGTTCCTAACTATTATCATGTGACAAACAGAGTCACAGAGTGGAGAAGAGTGTATGTGTTGAAATTTTCAAAACTGTGACTCACACAAGGCCTGAACGTGATTTTGTCCAAAATCAAATCCTATGGTAATTACAGAAAGATCACTTTTCACAACTAGTCTGCAATGAGGGACAGCCTCCCTAATTAAATGTCTTAATTGGTGAGTTACACTTTTACTCAAAAATCTAAATGCCATATGATATGAAGTCAAGTTTACAGAATTGCTAAAATCACAGGGGCTAGGCACTTACTGTATGCTTCTGTGGTATCTAATGATAGACCTCTTTTCCACCAAAAGAAGTATCACGTTTTCTGCCCAATTTCAGAGCCTTCCTCTGCACTTGTCACACTTTCTAAGATATGTGCTTGCCACCATTCCTCCCCAGATACTCCCTCATCCAAAAAGGATGTGCTGTCAATCTGCTCACTCCTGACTTTGGCTCAACTTCTCACTTTTGAGATACCCCATTCTCTTCCAAACCTGTCTACTCCTTTCCATACTTCCAAATTTAGCCTAAGTTTGAAACTCCTCCTGTGTTCTCCCTTGCCTGATTTATTTCTTATAACATTCTTCCTTCTGTGAAAAATCTATAATTTTAATTCAGGCTACAGAATGTAACCAAATTTTTCTTTTACTGTATGACTGACTATATTGTGAACATTATAATTGGGCACATATAATATTTAAACATTATTGTTCTTTTTCTAGGTTGACTTAAATGAATATATTATCAAGATAAACTCTGAAGCTATAGAAGAAAAATTATACAGACTACATAACGTTCTCCAAATAGTCCCCGTCACATTAATGTGGAACTCTTTTGTGCAATGGTCTCTCATAGGAACAGCCATACAAGACACCAAGAGGGGGCTGAAATATGAGATCAACAATTAGCTATGCCTTTAAACAGTTGATAAATCTCAGGTTATACTATTACATTTATTATTATTATTAAATATCTATAAAATATACTATTAAACTGACTAATGTAAGGTGTGCAGTGTAAGGCCTAGAAGGAAAAATATACACACAAAAAGTAATAGCCACTGTGAAATTCTGGCCACTTTGTTAATTGCTAAATAAAAATTCCAGTTTTTATTGATGAGTCTTTTGCCCTCTCCACCACTGTTTATTGGGACAGATGAAATGAAGAACTTAGGGTTACAATTGGTAATTAGTAAGGGTCTTCAGAAACTTCAACTCAGGAATGAGTCCTCAACAACAGGAAAGGTTACTCTGTATGTGTTTCTGTTCATAGGTAGATCTTAACATATAGGTGATGAGCATAGGTACTTCCAACATTCCCAATTTAACTGTATTCTAGTCACATACACTATGAAAGATAATTGGATATCAGAGCTTCAAGCAAGTACTTCTAATACATTCTAAAAGAATGGTTGTTCAGTTAATTTGTACCATTTGTCTTGTCAGTGAATGTATTTTTATGTTAGGTCTTCTTTTGACATCCTGAAAGTGAATGACATGGGTGAAATTAACCAGACACTTGTGTTAGAATTTCTTCTTCTGGGTCTTTCTGGATACCCAAAGATTGAGCTAATTTACTTTGCTCTGATTCTAGTTATGTACCTAGTGATTCTAACTGGCAATAGTGTTCTGATCATAGCAAACATCTTTGACTCTCGTCTCCACACTCCCATGTACTTCTTCCTGGGCAACCTCGCTTTCCTGGATATCTGCTATACATCCTCCTCTGTTCCTTCAACATTGGTGAGCTTAATCTCAAAGAAAAGAAACATTTCCTTCTCTGGATGTGCAGTGCAGATGTTCTTTGGGTTTGCAATGGGGTCAACAGAATGTTTGCTTCTCAGCATAATGGCATTTGACCGCTATGTGGCAATCTGTAACCCTCTGAGATACCCCATCATCATGAGCAAAGTAGTGTATGTATTGATGGCTTCTGTGTCATGGCTTTCTGGTGGAATCAACTCAATTGTGCAAACATCACTTGCCATGAGACTACCTTTCTGTGGGAACAATATTATCAATCATTTCACATGTGAAATATTAGCTGTTCTCAAGCTAGCTTGTGCGGATATATCCCTCAATATTATCACCATGATGATATCAAATATGGCCTTCCTAGTTCTTCCACTGATGGTCATTTCTTCTTCCTATATGTTCATTCTCTACACTATCTTGAGAATGAACTCAGCCACAGGAAGACACAAGGCTTTTTCCACCTGCTCAGCTCATCTGACTGTAGTGATCATATTTTATGGTACCATCTTTTTTATGTATGCAAAACCCAAGTCTCAAGACCTGATTGGGGAAGACAAGACACAAACCTCAGACAAGCTCATTTCTCTGTTTTATGGGGTAGTGACCCCTATGCTGAATCCTATAATCTATAGCTTGAGGAATAAAGATGTAAAAGCGGCTGTAAAATATCTGCTGAACCAAAAACCTGTTTACTAACAATACCAGAAAACGTAGGTCTTTGTGTAACAGGCCCAGAGAGGTACTCATAGGTAAATTAGTGAGAACCGTTTTTGGAGAAACCATGGTTAGGGAAAGAGATTTCTATCCTTTGCCTTCACTAACCCTGCTCAGCTAGAATCACTGAGAACTATAGTTTGCTACAGACTCTGCTTCCAACAGACCGTGATCCAGATTTCACAAACATAATAAATGAATTCCACTAGAACCGCATTCCTGGTGATATCTGAAATGATTTTTTTTTTTTTTTTTGGTGGACTATGTGTAAACATCGTGGAAAACTGTCACACAAAGCTTTGAAAATAGAGATGAAATAGTACAAAATCTTAAATTTCACAAACTGATAGTAGACAGATGATTCAGCTATGCCATTGTTATCTTATGTGTAATAAGGAGATAAATAACATAAAGGTCTCAGTGTCATTTAAAGTTTCAGTAAGTTGGAGAGAGTGCCTAGCATGGTACCAACTTCATAGTGTCCTGGAATTTCAGAACTGAAGCTAAGACTCTTCTACTAAAAGTCACTCCACTAATATAAATCACACCCTCCTGGCTTCCCCCACCCATATCTACATAAAGAAAAGACTAGGCCAGGAGAAGAAATAACCAAGGGAATGTTCTACCTTATGGGACGTGTACAATGAGAGGTGTTCCATTATTGTCCCTTGAGAGAATGGGAACTGATTTCCAATTCAAGCCAAGTGTGGTGGTGCTGCAATAGAGAGTCTTGACATTTTGGGTTCCGACAAAGAAGAAGAGTCTGACATCTGGTTTGATGAGTCGAGGCCTGTTGAGCTTTGAGGCTGTAGACTAGCAGAGAAAGTAATCTAGAAGAAGGCAGAAAGTGGATATCTTAGCCCCAAAATAAGTAGAAACATTTCACATCTGTTTGAGATGTTCCTATGGACTCAGACGCAGTGAGTAACTGGAGAAATAAAATCAGATTTTGTTATTCTCCAATGAATTGGAATGCCCGAGTAAATCTCTCATATTTCTTCTTCTTTTTTGGTAGATTACTTGTCTAGAAGTCCAATGCTGAGACTAGGTTAGCTTTGTGCTACACCATCCAGATTTTCCATAATCTCTCAGCCCATTAGAGGTAGCTTGGCTTTGACTTATATTCCTACTCAATTTTCCTCTTTTCTATGTGTTTTAGAGCCATGATATCATTCCATATTTCCTACACAGACACTTCATTCTGCCAATCTATTTCCCTTAGGTTGACCCAGTTTCTAAATAAATACTTAGTTCTCACTCTTTCACTAAATACTGCTGTCCTGCTGCTCTCTCACCAGAATTGAAGTACTGTCACTGCAGATAACCTATAGCTGCTTGTCTTTCTCTTCTGGGTTGGATCACATTGCCATTGTTTTTGTTTCTATTCAGAATAGTGTGTACAAGACCATGTGGATGATGGCATTTGAATTTCTGGTGCCTTTCTGTCCTCTCTACTGGAGGCCCTAAATTTGTAGAAGATCTTTGTTTAATTCTTTTTAAATTTTGATCTGAGACAACAAGGTTTTAGATATGTAAATAGTGTTATTTGTACTGTTTTAGCTCAATCCCCCAGCACCTAAACTTATTATTTTCCCCACAATACCAAGAGGGTCAGCATGTTACCTGCAGGCTTATATCAGGTTGAACTCATCAAATGCTAAAATACTCTGTAATTATATCAAAGTAAGTGCAATATAACTTTGTTATAAGCAAGTGTGGTCAGGCTCATCAATGATCAGAAAATTTTCAGATTCAGATAATTAATTTCCATTTCCACACAAGCAGAAAATCTTGTACAGATTGTTAAGTGAATTATATTCTGACTTATAAATCAATATTTTCTAAAATTCTGAAGACTATCAAAAAGTATAAAAAGGAAAAAAATTGTTGTCACTATGACCACCTCCAAAATATGTTATGTTTAATGTTTCTCCTAGTAAGTAGGAGTCACACATCCATTATGTTTTCAGTTTGATTTGTCATTAACTCTAATATGAGCTCTTGGGGTTAAATATTTTTTCATGTACCATACACTTTCACAGGATACATTCTAAGATGTGAAATTAATAGTACAGATGATTTAAACATTTTAAATTTCTGGCTAAATTATCCTTAGAAAGGTCATGTTACTACATTAAATATGCTTATATGAGTTACCCACAAAACGGTTACAGCTCTGTTTACATACATACATGCACAAGCATATCTCTATTTATCTATATACACACATTTATATGTATGGTGTGTGCGATTTTATACATATATATGTCTTTGAAACATTCTTTTAGAAATTTTCAAATATTTGGTAAAAGCATGAAAAAAATGTAATAAAACCCAATGTACCAATCATATAACTTAAATAATTACCAATACCTGATCAACTTTCTTTTATCATTATCCATACCCACTTATCTTCTTCCTTCAGGTTAACTTGAAACAAACCCTGAGTATTATATATATACACACACACATACACACACACACACATATATATAATGATGTTTTAGATAGATAGATAGACAGATAGATAGATAGATTATCCTTATCCAGGAGCTGTGTGTGTGTGTGTGTGTGTGTGTGTGTGTGTGTGTGTGTGTGTATACTAAGTGACACAAGTCCAACAGTCACCATTCACATTGTAGTTTATGAGAATGCATCTTCAAGAACACATAAGTGGTGATATGAATGATTCCTTCTCTTGTTAAAAAATAGGACAGTGTTGATGAGAACTGTGAGCCACGAAAAAGGTATATGAGTCACATAAAAACCTCATTTCTCACTTCAGTGGATTGTTGCTATGAGATAATGTAGGTTGTATGTTGACTGGTTTTTAAAATTTCAGTAGCAGCCTGGGCTGCTACTGGTCTCTATAAAAAATTAGCTGGATGTGGTGGTGTGTGCTTGTAATCCTAGGTACTTGGAAGGTTGAGTCAGGAATATCACTTTAGTCCAGGAATTTGAGACTGCAGCGAGCTAAGGTAGCACCACTGCACTCCAACCTGGGCAACAGTGAGAACTAGTCTCTAAAATATAAATAAATAAACAAATAAGTTTCAAGAGAAGTCAGATTTTTAAATTAAACATTATAGCACTTACCCAGGGTTGGATATTTTACAGAACACATGAGACTCCAGAGTGCATATTCATGTAAGGCTTTAATAAAGGTATAGGACACGGTCCTGCAAGAGGTAGAAATTTGGAATCAAAAGGGAAAGCTCCCAAATCTTCAGTTATAACTGAAGGACAATTATATACTTCCCAGGCCAATTTTGAACAAATCTCCTGTAGAATGATTCTGTCAATGTTGGCTGACATACCAGTCATGTTGTTGCCATTAATTGCTTGAGTACAGTTTGAGTAAATATTTTGAGCCCTAAATGTTGATTTTCCCAGGATACTATCCTACAGATAGTAGGAAACTCCAAACATACTTTAGAGTATGGCAAAGAGCTTCCCATCGGTTCCCTTTATATCAGCAATCACTTCTCTAGTATTTCACTTTAATTTCTTTTACCTAGATTATCCTCCTTGGAGTAGGTCTGTTAGGTCAGCTAGAGGACTAACCCATAAAGTTAACATTAATATAAACATAGTCAATGTCTCTTCTTTTTCAATTTTTAGTCCTATACAGTAGGGTTGGATAAGTACAAACATACAGGCCTACATCATTCACCAGGTAAGAGAGAGACAGAAACCAACTAAAAAGGGTGAAAATAAGGAATGATCCATATTATAATTTTTTTTAGGATTATGAATGTAGTAATATTTAGATGTATTGTCATGGTGTCGTGTTCACTAAATGACCTTTCTTCTGGAACTTGTAAATGCAACAAATGTCCCACCAGCACAAAAGCAGGCAATGAGAAGGAAAAAAATCTAGAAACAGATGTTTCTATGAGTCCATGTATCATTCTCACTATCTTCTCCAAGTCTTCACCTACAGTATCTCAGCAATGTATCTAGTGGTCTCCCTTTAATTCCACAAAGAATTAAGTTTTAACATACATTCATTCAGGTGTGAAAGACATTATTATCATTCTCTAATTTGTAAGTAGGAGTTTCCAGTGTTCATTCTAATTTTCATTGATCCATGTTTTGTGGATGGGAATGTATATAAGTCCATTGTTTATGATGCTTTGTAACTCGTTGAATTTTTCTTGTATTTCCTTAATTAGACGACTAATATCCAAATTAAAATAATACTTTTGCTCTAGATCTATATAGTGGTAGTAGAAGTATTTGCTTTATCTGTGAGGTATGCAAATCCAAATCTAGTGTCTCTCTCAATTGTTTGAAAACCATCTGGAAACCAGGTAATAGGTCAATGTAACCCACTTGCCAGCTGTGGCTCCTCCTGTATCCTTTCAATAGCCAAGTCATAACTACCATTGTCCTTTGATTTTTCTGCTGAGAAGCAGATTGATTTTTATGTATATTTCCTGCTCCTGAGGAAGACAACGTATGTTTCCATTTTTTTCCATTTGTTGCATTGTTTGAATGCCTCCACGCCTGCTCATCTTATGTTCCCAAGAGGTTACTTCCAAAGCAAGAATAAAGGGCCCTATTTGTTGATTCTTACTCTTTTCTGAATTTAGAAGGGAAGTTTTATGATAGTTATATACAAGCCTCACTTTGATAATCTCTTTGCAGTATAATAAATTTAGGTGTCTCACAACTTAAGTTACTGTCCTTTTAGTCTCTTATCACCCTCCTGCTTACAAAATTGGAGGGTGATAAGAGATTAAAGGACTCCATATAGGGGTCCTTTATCTTCCAGTCATGTAAGACCTATATTTTCAGATTATATCACAAGTCATTGTCTGAGAATTGGTAAAAATTCATATGGTATCATTATTGTAATTTTTTGATTCTTCTCATGAGTGAGGAATACTGTTCTTAACTCTTCCTGAATCAAATACTAACAGGGATTTGGGAATATTATTTCATCATTTTATCTCAGTTGACTCAACTATAGAAATGTAAGTCTTACAGAATTATTTTTGCAGAGTGTTCTAGCTCTAAGCATCCATGATCTTATAGTATAAAAACAACCTTTACATATTTCTATTTGTATTTAATTTACACATAGATAGTTTGTGGAATGTGTGTGCGTGCGTGTGTGTGTGTGTGTGTGTGTGTGTGTGTGTGTGTGTTAGTGTCTCTATGCATAGTTTTAACTTCTTAAGAAAATTGTTATTTCTCAGAATTCAAGTATTCTATACTGAAATGTGATGTCTACTGGGAAATTATAGCCAGAATCTTAGTGCTAATATCTACAATATAGCTAAATAAACTTTACTAAAACACTTTAATTCAATACTATACTATATACCTATTCATGCCTCAGACTACTCATTCTGCATTTTTTTCCCTGCTTTTGTGGTCTTAAATATATGGATTTATTGCTGTCCTGTGGATTTGTTTATTTTACTGTTTGTATCTTTTTATTCCAAAAAAGTTTTGTGATGACATCCTATATAAAATTAATTTATCAAAAAGAATAAAGATAAAGTAAGCAAAAAAGTTAAATCACAATGTATTTAATTCATAGTGAATATCCATTTTATTTCATTCATAGAAGCTAGATCATTTTTCAATTCTAGCATTTCATTTTAGCAATCATCATTTGAATTATTAAGCCCTTACTTTGGATTAGCTTTGCATTGGTAGATACATTTTAAACTAGAAAGTTCTCACATTTCATAATATTTGTTTGGTAAACATCTGCCTCTTTTCCCAAAAGTGACCTGGATAGGAGAATGTTACTGGATATATGAGCTTTGGTCCAGCCACAGTATATTCCCAGCACCATTCTTAATTGGGTCTGTGGGACACTGTCCCTGACGCACCAGAAGTTTCTCCATTCCACAGATCTCTCATTCCAACTTTAAATTGCTTTGGGAATTGGGGAACAATTACAATAACTGTTGCATGACAAATATTTACCCTTCTGTGTCTGCGGAATCTAGTATCATTTAATACTAGACCTTAATAAAGAATGCTGACATAAACATTAACAAAAAGAACTTAATTATTCTAGAAAGTGGAAATAATTTATCACTATAAAGGTAAGTCCTAAATACCATGAAACTGTACCTTTTCAGTTAATAATGGAAGCAATTATTAAATATGCATCTATAATGATAATTGTATTAAGCAATGCAGCAATCAATTTATTATTATCAAATATAACTATGATAATTATATCATCACTGTTATAATCGTACATGCCAATTAATTCATAAAGCAATTTCTATGCACTATAAGTTTTCTCAGAATAAACCTATGATAAAAGTAAGGCAGGTATTTCTTTTACCTTATTACAAATGAAAAAAACCAAAGCTATATGTTAGAAGTTAGAAGAAAAAAGAACCTAAAAACTAGAACTTTTGTTTTTGAATCCCAAGCACTTTTAACTAGGCTAATGTCATGCCACTTAGGGATTAGGTGAATCCCTCTGTACTTGCAGTACATAAACTGGTTAATCTCTGTATAAGAGGGCTGCTTGTTGGTATCGACAGAAATACACCTTTTTTAAAAAAACTGAGAGCTTACTGCAACTGAATAATTTGTGCATATTAAAGTTCTGATCATTCATTTACAAATACTGCACAGGGAAATTGCTTAAGAATCTAGAAAAATTGTCTATTTTATACAGCCACTATTAGATTTAGGTTTGGAGGGATGGGCAAGACAAGCAAGCTCATTCTCCATATCTCTTGTTATCTGACACTATACAACATGATCAATTTAAAGAGTGTAGAAGAAGAAAACCAAAGGCGACAAGACAAGCCTGCCTTAGGGTAGATTGAATTGGTGAGGGAATTTCTGCATGGGGGAAAGACTTGGAGCAGGAGGAAGGGGAAATCGAGTAGGTAACCTAAAATGCGTTGTCATCACATTTATATGGAAAGAGAAGCCAAGAGACTCACCAGGCCTAGACCAGAAGGTTCCAGTCAGATCTGGAACATCGCCACCTTTCCTGGTAAGTCAGGGTCTGTCCTCTTCCTGTTGCATTCATGGCTGGGCTGCTCAGAGTGCTCATATCTTGTGTTCCATGCATCCCCTGACCAATTTCTGCACCACACTTGAGGAGAATTTTTATTTATCCTGAGTACTGTAGGTGAGTGTAGAATTATTTCACATCAAATGGGCTATTCTGAGGAATATGATTCAATCTTACAGTCATGAACATTCTTTCATGATGAGAAGTACTAACTCCTCAAGAATTAACCATTCTCCTTGTACATTGTTAATAGAGTGCAATCAAGTTCCACCTTTATTATATCAGTGAAATATTGTTATCTTTGGAACTCACTGTCCATTCTCTGTTGTTGACAAATGATTTCTAAACACATTTTAATGCTACCTCTTAGCATATAAATAGTGGAAATAGAATGGGCTTTGGACTTTGCCTCTGCCCATTGTTAGTCACATGACCTTGTCCAAGTGAACTATTTTTAAGCACAGTTTCTGGCACATAGAACTCCACAGTAAAAGTTACTTGTGATTTTTTTCCACTTAAATAAACCAAAATGACTTTTTAAAGAAGGTATTTCTGGCTTTAGGCTTAGTAAATATAAATTAAAAATTGGTTTGAGGCTCAATTTTCTCATCACTAATTTGGGGATTCAACCTTCTCTCATTTGTACCTTTCTTCTAAACTGGAAATTTTCTACCTAGTATTCTTCCGATTGTTTCTGAAGTCAAAATCCCTCTGTCAAGTTTAGCTTCTGCCTCCAAGGTATTATACACCGTAGAGAAATTTTTCCACCTATCATCATATGACAAACTAAGCGATAAAGTGGGTGTTGAGTCTCTGCTGGTATTCTCAAAACTGTTAGCCCACGTGAGCCATAACCTAAAAACTGATGGGGATTATTAAAAAAAAAAAAAAAAAAAGATTTATGTGTGTATACCAGGCAGCAGGCAGTGCTTACTAATAACCCAATTGATCTAGACATCTTAATTCCTTGTGTCTCCTATCTGCTCAGAACCTTGTAAAATCAAATTGTATAATGTCAAGTTTGGAGGGCAGCTAAAGTCACAGGGTCTAAACACTCACCTTAGATTTGGTATTCTAATAAAAGACTTATTTCCTACAAAAAGGAATGTCAATTTTTCTGCCTGATCTTTGATCTTACCTCATTAGCATTTCAGATGTGTTTCCACTGAGGCTTCCTTGTCTGAAAAGTAGTTATACCAACTTGCTGCTCTAAAACAATGCTCAAGCTACTCTTCCTTCTAGAATACCTCTCTTCTCTTCCAAACTTTCCTAATCCTTTCTGTGTTTTGTGTTGGCTCTAAACCTGAAATTTCACCTGAACTCTCTCTAGACTCATTTCTCATTTACTTTCTCCTTCTAGGAATTCTTATAATTTTCCCCCTGGCCACATGATGTAATTATATTCTATATCAAATTGTTTCATGTGTAGTGTTCCTGTTTCCCTTATTGAACTGTAAACTTTTTGATGACAAACATATTGTGTCATACTTTCCCATCCATACTTGACTTGGAACAGGACTGTGCTCAAGTTAGACTATCAGTAATATTGTATACATACTATAGTAATCTAGCAAAAATGTATCCTTCTTTTACAGAATTTGTATCTCAATAGTATTTTTTTTCTGAAGTATACTAAGCAACAAGATATGGTTTTGAAATTTGCTGGCAGATACAAAAGAATTATGTTCTTGGCCATTTTCTAGATTGTTAAGCCAGTCCATATAATAACAGAAAAGAAAATCTAGTGGTGTCAGAAACATCAGGATAATCTACCAACTCTCACAGGTAAACCAATGCTTTGCTACTCAAAATGTGGCCTCATTCCAGTAGCTACAGAAACACACTGAGAGTTTAGTAAAAAGGCAGAAATCACAGGTCTTGTCCCAGATCTACTAAGGGAATTTACATTTTAACAAGATTCTCAGGTGATTTACATGCATATGATAAATTAGAAAGATTGAAATAGTTCATTCTTGATTATTCCACCAAGACTAAAAATTCAGAATAGTACTTGATGGCAAAACAAGATATAATGACTTTTGGTGTTATAGTCTAAAATCTGTAGACTTCATTGCCAGAGTTCTGAGCTTTAAGTTCCACTTTTTACTTATAGACTGGATAACCTTGGTCACATTCTGTCTTTCATATTTAAACAAAAAATTAGGAATAATGAGAAGATTCAACTGCTCTCTGTAAAATATAAAGTACTACATGAACACACACACATAATTATATTTAATTATTGTTACTGTTTTTTCAGGTTCATTTAGACAAATAAATTATCAAGAGAAACTCTGAAGCCATGGAATTTAAAGCAAAAAAAAAACTGAAGAGAGACAATGTATTGTTCTATAAAGATTCTCCATCACATACATGCAGAGCTGGTCTATGCAATGGTCTTGTCATAGCAAATAACAAAATAGTAAGAATGGACTGTTACTGTGAGATCAACAACTCCACCTTTGAACAGATATTAAATTGCAATGTATGTGGTTCAATTGACTATGATAAAATGCCTTCCCTTTAAAAATACACATTTAACTACTGAAAAGATACCCAGAGATCTAGTCAGACAAACAAATATGCATGAACATCAATCCTGCTTTTAATTTCTAAACATTTTAGTTAAGCCCTAATCAAAATTCCAATCCTTGTGGTTGTCTTTTACCTTCCCACTGTTCTCTCATTGGACTTGAATAAATGAAGAAGTCAAGTCTGCTGTTGCTGTCAGCAACATTCTAGGGTTTTTAGAAAACTCAGTTTAGGGTCTTCTTGACAGTAAGAAAGGTTGCTTCTGATCCTAGGTAAATCTTCATATATGAGACATAAGGCATAGAAACTCTCAACATTTTGGTATGGTTGTATTCTAGGTACAAACACTATTGAAGATAATGGAATGATGAAGCTTAAAAACAAATACTCTCTATTTCACCCTAGAGAAATACGTATTCAAGATGTTTACTGTGTTTGTTGCTTGTCCGTGAAAATATTTTATGTTCATTCTTCTTTTGATTCCCTGAAAGCTGGAACATGGACAAGATAAATCAGACATTTGTGAGAGAAATCATTCTTCTGGGACTCTCTGGGTACCCAAAACTGGAGATCATTTTCTTTGTTCTAATTCTAGTTATGTACCTAGTGATTCTATTTGGCAATGGTGTTCTGATCATAACAAGTATGTTTGATTCCCATCTTTACACACCCATGTACTTCTTCCTGGACAATCTCTCTTCTCTGGATATCTGTTGCTCATCCTCCTCTGTTCCCTCAACTTTGGTGAGCTTAATCTCAAAGAAAAGAAACATTTCCTTCTCTGGATGTCCAGTGCAGACGTTCTCTGGGTTTGCAATGGGGTCAATAGAATGTTTCCTTCTTGGCATGATGGCATTTGACCACTATGTGGCCATCTGTAACCCTCTGAGATATTCCACTATTATGAACAAAGTGGTGTATGTACTGATGGCTTCTGTGTCATGGCTTTCTGGTGGAATCAACTCAATTGTGCAAATATCATTTGCTATGCAATTGCCTTTCTGTGGGAATCACATTATTAATCATTTCTTATGTGAGAACTTAGCTGTCCTTAAATTAGCTTGTGCTGATGTAGCCCTCAACATTGCTACACTAACAGTGTAAAATATTGCTTTTCTAGTTCTCCCTCTGCTGGTCATTTCTTCTCCTATATGTTCATCCTCTACACCATTTTGAGAATGAATTCAGCTTCAGGGAGACGCAAGGCCTTTTCTACCTGCTCAGCTCATCTGACTGTGGTGATCATATTTTATGGTACCATCTTCCTTATGTATGCAAAACCTGAGTCCCAAGACCTCCTTGGGAAACACAATTTGCAAGCTACAGAGGGGCTTTTTCCCATGTTTTATTGGGTAGTAACCCCCATGGTAAATCCCATAATCTATAGCTTGAGAAATAAAGATGTAATAGCTGCCATGAAATATTTACTGAATAGAAAATCTGTTGATCAATAAGACTGAAAGTAAATGTGGATCTTTTGTATTATTGGCTCGATTTAGCCTTTTCACAATGTACACAAAACTAGAATATCATGTTTTAATTTTGTTCAAGTGCATACAATTTTCACTTGTCATTTAAAATAAGTTATAAAATATCAAAATAGCATAGTTATGTAATTATTGAAGACTTTGTTTGGAGGAAGCAAAGTTATATAGAAATATATTTTAATTCTTCACTAGCCCTGCTATGTTAGAAACACTGAGTACAGCAGTCTGCTATAAACCGAGATTCTAACAAGTTCTGATCTGGATTTCACAAACAACACATTTCTTTAGCTATGATCCCTGAAGATATCCAAAATAATGTGTCTGGTTTATTTGTGAGGATACAGTAGAAACCATGAGACAATGCTTTGAAAATAGATGGCAGGAGTAAAAATTTGAAACTACTTAAATAATCTCAGATAGATTTATTCATTTTCTAAACTACAGTTTTCATATTTTCAAAAAGGGAGAAATTAACTCTGTTCCCAATGTTAGTGTAAAGATTCAGTAAGTGCACAAAATATTCAGCATAGTACCAAGTTCATATTACTTCTCTCTGTAGAGGACATTGAGATGACTTTTTCTATTGACTCTCAGTTTAGAAATTGAAATAAAGACTCCAAAGGGAAGACAAAGGACACTCTCCAGCATAAGCCACTAGTGTTAGGGTCAGGCATATCTCCTATAAATCTTCATGCTAATTCTGATCACCATTCCTCCTTGCCCCTTCTCCCACCTATTTATAAAAGAAAATATCAACTGTGGCTCCTGTGGAGGAATAGGAATACCGTGTTCTAATCCAAGTCAAGTGAAGAGGGTTGCAAAGGGACCTCTTGAGGTTTTGGGTGCCTTCAAAGAAAAGCTGGCATCCGGTTTGATGAATGAGGTTTGCTGAGCTTCTCTCTAGGTTGAAGACTAGCAGAAAGGTAAATCTAGCAGAGGATTAGTATCTTAGGTCTAAAATAACTATAATATAAGAAATTTATACTTGCTGAAATGTTTTTCAAGGTCTGAAAAAGAGCTGAAATTAGTGACAGGGAAAAGTACAGTAAGTTCTCTACATATGAACAAGATTCATTCCAAGAGTGTGTTTGTAAGTCCAATTTGTTTATAAGTCCAACTGAGCTAGCCTAGGTACCCAACAAACACAATTGGCTATATAGTACTGTACTGTAATAGGTTTCTAATACTTTGCACACAAGCAATATATAAAAAAAATCAAACACAAAAAATAAAGAAAACATTTTTAATCTTATAGGACAGTACCTTGAAAAGTACAATACAGTACAGTACAACAGCTGACATACAGGGGCTGGCAGTGAGTGAACAAGCAAGAAGAGTTCCTAACTGGAGGAGGGAGAAGGGGTGGGAGATAGTAGAGCTGAAGGATCATCAGCAACAGAAGATGGAGGGGAAGCTGCAATTTCACTCACACCTGACATTGATGGCACAGGTTCTGGTTCCTTGATAGATTCAATTTTATCTAAGGTCTTGAAAAATGGACATTTGCATATTTGAAAGCTTGCAGTTTGAAGGTTTGTATGTAGGGAACTTACTGCATTTCATTTTACAATTCGGTGAGTTGAAACTCAAACCCATTATGGTTTTTTTTTCTTTCTTTTAATTTTTTTTCCCTGTAGATTCGTCCACCATAGCTGAGCACAGTATTTATTTGGTCCGTATCACCATCCATTGTGACAGCTGGTTTAAACTCTAATTTCCTATGTAAATTTTCTCTTTCTTATTGGTTTTAGAGTCATAATACGACCCCAGACCTCTTATGTGGGGACTTTACTTCCTGCCGATCCATTTCCTTGTGATGAATCTAGTTTTGAAAATGTTATCTAGCCACTAAAATCTTGCTTCATTACTACTGTCTGGTTTGGGAGTGCTGTCCCACAGCAAACCTCCAGCCGCTGGTCTCTCCTTTTCCTTAACTTGAATCATATGGAGTGCTGCGTTTTCTTTAATTAGGACAAATGTGGGTGAGACGTTTTAACTTCTGCCTACTCTCACAGGAATGTGCCTTACATGCCATTCTGATCCTAGTTTAATTCTTTCCAAACTATGACCCAGATTTTAGGTACACGTCAGTGTGTACAAGGTCCTACTTCTGTTGACTCTCAGCATCTTAATTTTTTCACCAAATGGGGAGGGTGCTAACCTCTCATATGTGTATTTATGTCAGATTGAATTTATTTTGAAAAATAGATTAAAATTCTTCTCTCCATTGGTATATAAAAAGTTGGTGAAATATTGCTTCTGTTTAGAGACATTCTATTCATGTTGACAAATGCTCAGAAAATTAACATTCTAAAAATTAATCTGTCTTCCCATGAAACTAAGAAATCTCAAAAGATTATTATATATACATCACAAATAATTATTTTAGAAAATTTCAAAAACAGTAGGAAACGTGTTATCATGATTGCTACCTACTATAGGCAACCCCAGTTCATTATTTGTCTTACTTATATAGAGTCCTAAAATTAATATTTTAAAATGATGACATCTTTTGATGTATCACGAACACTTGGAATTGCTAGTTTTGAAAGTTTTTAATCATCAGGGAGATACAAATCAAAACCACACTGAGATACCACCTAACTCCAGTCAGAATGGCAATTATCAATAACTCAAAAAATAATAGTTGCTAGAGAGGGTGTGACGAAAAGGGAACACTTCTACACTGTTGGTGGGAGTGCAAACTAGTGCAACCTCTGTGGAAAACAGTATGGCGATTCCTCAAAGCTCTAAATATTGACCTCCCATATGACCCCGCAATCCCCCTACTGGGAATATACCCTGAAGAACTCAAATCACTCTATAAAAAAGATACCCTCACACATATGTTTATCGCAGCATCGTTCACAATAGCAAGAACCTGGAACCAACCATGCTGTTCATCAAAAGAGGACTGGATTAAAAAAGTGTGGTACATATACACGATGGAATACTATGCAACCATAAAAAAGAACAAAATCATGAATTTCGCAGTGACCTGGATGGAACTAGAGTCTTATATAATACTGAGTGATCTCTCACAGAAACAAAGATCTGAGTATCACATGTTCTCACTCATATAGTGGACCTTGAACATCCAACATAATACTATAAGAAAATGACTGACAGTGGTGGGAAACTATGGGGGTGGGAGGGGAAGGGAGATGGGATTAATGGTAGTAAATATCTGTCTGAGGATGGGGAGACACCTCTTATCAATAAGGGTCCCTGAACAGAGCATATTTGTATACCTAACCCTTAACTGTACCCCACAATAGAAAAATAAATAAATAAATAATAATTTTTTTAAAAAGTTTTTAAAAGTGTGTTTTCCCAATTTTAGGTTTCACAAGATAAATTTTAGAAAATGAAATTATTAGAGCAATTGATATAATTTTTCTATTTCTCATATTAAATTATACTCCCTCCTCCACAAATTATAGTATTGTCTATCAATGACACTGTAAGGGTTTCCCCAAACTTTTCCATCTCTGGTTTGTGTGTATGTGTGTGTGAGTATAAACGTTTAATTTTGGAAATTTTCAAGTAATCATAAAAAGAAAAATAATTTTTTAATAAAATCTCATGTATCACTCTACTTAAATAATTAAGAGCTCATGGGTTTCAACATTATCTGTACTCACTTATCCCCTCTCTCCATATTATTTTAAGCAAATACTGGGAAAAGTATACACCTTTTATTCTGAAATAACTTTAGACTTACAGAAAAGTTGTAAGAATCACATAAATAATTTCCTTGAAGTTTTTACTCAGAACCTTCAAATATTAACATCTTACCACATTTGTTTTATCATTTCTCTCTCATTATATATATATGTATAATTTACATATATATACTTATTTTATATATACCTATTTGAGAGTAAGTTTTAGATAGTATGTCTCTTTACCCCTTGCAACATTTGTCTTTCTTAAAATCAAACGGACATTATTTTACCATAACCAGAAGATGCTTACCACATAATTTAATAATACTACATTATCTAATTTAGTGGTTAGTGAACAATGACCCTGGGAAAAATCTGGTCTACCATCTGTTTCTTTGTGGCCCCCAAACTAAAAATAATGTTTAATTTTTAAACGGTTGACAAATTAAAACTTGACTATCCATAACATTTTAAAGACTTTTTATTGGAAATAATTATAGAATCAAAGAAAGTTACAAAATAGTATATAAAGTATCATGTACTCATTCTACTCCCTCCAGTTCTGACATTTTATGTTATGGTAGTATAATATCAAAATCACAAAATGCCACTGGTTTAGTATTATTGACTAGACTATAGAACTTATTTAGTTTTTACCATTTTTTTATATTCATGTGTATCTCTCCCTGTGTAGTTCTATGCAATTTTACCCCATGTATATGTTCCTGTAACCCACACTATCATAAAAATATGTGATTGTTCCATTGCTACCAAAAAACTTTCTCTTACTGCCCTGTGATGGTTAATAACTTTATGTGTCAACTTTGTTAGGTGATGATACCCAGCCCAATATGTCAATAATGCTGCAATTTGGAAGTCTGGTTCTAGAGCAATTAGATAACAATAGAGCTAGTTTAGTTCTATTGTTGTCTAACAACTCACAGGATTCTAATAAATGCTCTGGGTATTCAAAGAAGACTTGGCATTCTGGTTGCTTTGGAACTCGTATGTCTCTCAAATCTTGTGAGCTTTGGGATTAGTTTAATTTGTAACTCTCCATTTGTTTTTCTCTGCCTGGACTCATGAAGTTTCACCATTCTGCAAGTGTGGCTTAGTATTCAGCACCAGACATAATGGAACCCCTCTTGTGATTTCCGGTTTCTTCTTTGCCCAGACTTTTTGCCTCCAGAACTCTGCCCTGTAAACTCTTGCTTCCCCAGTCCCCTGTACTCTGTTCTAACTCTTCTCGATTTAGTGAGAGCATTGTGATCTGTTTGGGATTCTCTTTCATGATCCAGA